CGATAGAGCTTGTAGACAGAACTGGGAGCAGTAATGGACACAAGTCCTGTAAATACTTCAGGCAGTCGGTGTGTTTTCAAATTGCTTATTTAGTATTCTCCCGGAATACTAAGCTCTTTAGTGTTTGTGCCAGTCTAGATATTTACTTGTGCTACTTCACTATGTGCAGGGGCTAGCAATTAACCCTAGAGGCTCATGAAGACCCATTGAGGAGATTTGCAGTCTTTTTTTTCATTAACAGAAGTTAACTGTTCTTGTTACTCCACCACATTTTGTCCTATGTTGTGACAAGATTTAGGAAATTATATACCTGATGATATTTAAAAGCCACTGAACTTTTATCTTTCAAATCAATGAAATATTAAAAAATACTACTGCATTGTTCTAATCTGAACTCTATTTTCTGCACTGAGCTGGTGCTTAGCTATGGTTTCCTCTGACTGTGCTATGGAAAAAGAACCCCAACCCCCCCCTGAACCCAAACAAACTAAAATCCCCAAAAGTCAGTGTAGCTTCACATTAGCTCTGCAAGACTATGGAACTATTGTTTGTATTCTTTTTTTCATAGCTCATCATTTGGCTTGTGGTCACCTTTCTAGTTCTAAAGTAACTGCTAATCGCATAGATTGTCAAAGAGGGTGTTCAGGTACCTTTTAGCGGATGAACAAGAGGAAAAATATCTTCAGAGAGAAAATAAATGAAAGAGAATCTAGTGGGCAGTCAGCTACAGAAAGAAAACTTGCTTTTACATCTTTTTAGATGGTAAAAAGTGAAGAAATTGACCTTCCATGAAAATTGTCAGGAAGTTAGGAAATTAAGATGTAGCATTAATAGTTATGTAATGTACACTCCATATTTCATAGCTACAAAAAAAACAGTTGGAAGTACTTGGAGGATTAATTTGGAGTCATGAGAAAAGCAAGTTTGGTTACAGTAGCTAGGAAGAAACTATGCTGTACTTGAAAGAATCAACATGGAGTTAGAAAGAAAATTCAGTGTGACAGCTTATTCTGTGATAGCAACTAATTAACCTCTGGTGCCTCTCTGTGAACTGTGAGCCACTGCTTCCTTGAGGTTGCAGAAAGAGTCAGGCAGTTCCTCTGCCTTGCTATTGCAATGGTAATATTCATTTCACAAGAAACTCCAACATTCCCCTGTTCTTAACACTATAACGTTCAACTCCCTCCAGACCAAGTGTATGCATTGAAAGTGGTGCTAACAGCCGCATCTAGAGCAACTTGTGAATTATTGCTACATCTTATTGTAGTTTTAGCTGTCTTGTCCAACTTTTTTTTTTTTTAACCCTGGTTAAAAATGCTACTGCTGCACTTGTTTAATGATTTCTATTGATCAGGACAATAAAATTAATTAGAAAATGTATTAGCTTTCTTCTGTAGTAGTATGCTTAATTGTAATGTACTGTACTTAAAGTAAAAAAATCAATATGTTTACATTCATTATTATCTAATTAATTATAGTGCTCAGCAGACCTGTGTTAATGAATGTAAATAACGCCTTTGGTAAGTGTCCAAACAAGACAGATGTACTTACTGTGTTTTTGTTGGGAATTTGTTCGGATATAAACCATGTTACCCATCTGTTCTGGGTGCGAATGGCAGAGTTAATTCTGAATAATCACTTGTAGCCCCCCAGACAGAAGTTATATCCCAAATAGTTTGAAATTTCTTTGCAGAGTAGTTTTAAATTACTCTCGTAAATGATACAGTGTTTGGGTTTTGCTGTTCCTTTTTGTATTAGTATCAACACAGTGTGTAAGAGTTGTTGCATTTTCACTTTGTCTTACCAAGATGGGTTTCTCTTGTTGCATGAAGATAAATGCTGAAACTGGTATAAAGCCAGTGACAAACTCATAATTTCTGGTTGCTCCAGGAGTGCTCTTTCCTTCTTGGTGAGTGTCTCAAGGCTGGGATTCAGGGGATCAGTGCGCAGTTGCCAGGCCTTATTGGTGACTTTCTTATTGCTGACTTGCATTGTAACTTCTGCCAAAACCAGCTCCTGAATGGCACTTTCTGCATGATGGGAGAGGCACTCTGCCTGCCTACACTGTTAAACTGTAGGTAAAAAAGGTGGTGTATTTTTAAGAAAAAAAAACAAACCCAAACCAAAACAACCCAACAAAAACCAAAAACAAAACCAAAAAACAACCACCTCAACAAAACTACTTTTTTTTTTTTTTTTTTTTTTGATTTGTCGTAGTTGCTTAGATATAAAGCAAAAACCAGTATAGGAATAATCTGGTTATCTCTAAATACGTTTATTCTGATGGAGTCATACATGGCCAAGTTAATGTTTGAGACTAGAATGGTAATGTTTATTTTCTAGTGGATTTTTATAATGTGGAAGTTTTAAAATTTAATGTCTAATTCTCGTATGCAAGTTTCTGTACATACCTAACAACAAATGTGGAAGAGAAATAGTGAATATCTCTTCTGCAGAAGAGCGTCAAGTTGTGAGCTGTTGGGCTTCTATGTGTGATATGGGTTTAGACAACTGCCCATTATGTATTGAAAATCAGGTAGGGGAACCAGCTGCTTATAGCCACACCTGGCATGTGGAATACATACTTTTTAAGGATTGCAAGTATTTTGAAATATATTGTATTCTATGTTTTGACTGTGCAGTTGTAATAAGGCATCTTGTGCTATAGAGGACTTCTTAGGACAAAGCTTGGGAAGTTGTGTGCAGCGTGGCCTGTTCAGAAAAGTGCTTCCATTATCGCTGCCGTTTGTGGAATGAAGGAATCATGATCAAGGTCTTTCCCTTCATTTGTGAAACTTATGAGTTACGCTGGCTGTCAGGAAATAAAGTAGTGTGGGGTATGTGGCAATTATGGTAAAATGCCCATTCCAAGCAGCCAAGGCAGTTGGCTTGTACGTTTCTTTTTCTAATGATTTTAACTGATGTGCACATGTTCTATTTTCTTCTGAGTTTAGAAAAAGTATTTTTAAAGCCCTTTCATAAAATGGCTATCTGATCTGACATTTCAGGAAGCTTTTTTCTGGAGCACATAGTCAGATTCATACTAGTTGAATCTTCAGCTCCTTCCCACTTAGGCTTACAAGTCTCCCCACATTATTTTACATTTGTTCTTTGACATGTACAGATTTAGAGACCGTGTCTCCTTTGGACTTGTGTTAGACTCTTTCCTTGATGTGACTGTATTAAAACTAAAACACACAAAATAAACCCGAATGCAAAACACCCTAGACCAAAGTGAACAAAAATGGTTTGGGTCGCGAGCTGGCAACTGCTTTGCTGCTGTGTTACATGGCTGGATGCCCAAGATAGTTTGGAGAGCACTTTTCAAAGATACACCCTGTAAAACTTAATTTAAATAACACTCTGGGTACGTTTTATGAAATAGAGATAATTCTGTTTCAGAAATGACACCATTGTTGCATGCTGCAGTACCTCCACATTTATAACTTCTGTTCAGATGTCTGAGAACTGGGTTGCTACGTTAGAAGCCAAAGGTGTTTAGATGTACCCTTGTTCCTACAATCTGTTGTTATGTCTGTGTGCATCAAATCTCAGGGGTTTCAAACCCACGTACACTGTTGAATGGTGAATTTGTTTCGAATATGTTTTCATGGCTGACCTTACGTACCCATGGGTTTGAACAGAGCACCTCAGTGCTGTCAGAGTAATGTGTGAGTTTCAGAAACCTCCACATAGTCCATGTACCAAAGAAGGTGGGAGTAAATACTTTTAAAAAAAGAAAACCTTTTTTGGGGGGGGGGAAAAAATATTTAAAATTATTTTTCATCTGCAAATCCCAAACTTGACCTTATGTAGTGATTGCAGTTAAACTTTGGGAGGAAGGGAATTTAAACACGTTCTTGTCACTTATTTAAAGTAATTTCTGAAACTAGCTTGGAGGCCAGTGTTTTTACCTGCATGTTTAAAATCTGGAAAATTTTTGTGTTTGAGATTTGCAGCAATTATGTCAAACTGCTATTAATCTTTTTGTGAAATATGGAATCTTTATTAATAATGAATATGCACTCATCTATGAATTAACATCTTATGTTTGCTAATTAATATTTTGTATATATGCATTATAGCGCTATGCGTGCTAATAGGTAGTACATTAGATCACAGAAATTACAGGAATTAGTTTTTGTTAATATTTCTGGAGATTAAATTTATTTACATTTTATAATAATTACAGGTTAGGGTAGTTGGAACCTCATATGCATATCTCTTTATGTAAACCTAATTTGCATCCCAAGATTAAAATGGAAGGCTATTAATAGTGCAGTAGTTCTTTAACAGTTCTACCTAAAATTAGCCCTTCCTATCTAGATTTGGACAGTAATTGCCTGGCATCACAAGCATAAGTATTGACTTGACACTAACAAATCTTAAATTAAAATTATGAAGTGGTTGCCTGCAGTAGCAAAATACTGGATATCATGTCCTAAATGGATTCTTCTAGTTGTGTGTTTCTAAAGGTATCTTAAAGTTACAGCTTGAAACTCCACTATGTATATTTTCTATTATTATGTTTATACTTGAGGAAGATAGTGGAAGCCGTAAGAATGAAATTACTGAACTTTAATCTTACATTTAGAGTTCCAATCTCCTAGCTTTCCTTGGCAATCTGGTAAGATACTTGATTTTGAAAACTGGATGAACCCCCTGCAAGCACCCTACAATACTGGAAGCACATATAGAAATAAAATAGTGTGCAAGTGTCTTAATTCGGGGATGTGGGGGTGGAAGGAAAAGGAAAAATTCATTAGCGATTTTTTTTTTTTTTTTTTTTAAGTTGTGCTGTTCTAGAGACTATTAATGCTTCACTCTTACATTAGCTGAGGGGGACCGCTAAGGACTGATTCTGTCATCTGCTGATTTTTGATCTATAGCCTCTATATATAGCTGTTACATTTCATCCCAGAAGACTCGGGTTTTAATACACAAGAGCACTGAAAGAAAATGAGTTTGGTCTTAAGGTTTATTTGTTCTAATCTTCTTAGATCTCTGGTGGAAGAGGAGGATCCTCATATGAAAGTATCTCTTGGTAGCAGCGATATGGGCATCTCTGCCCATCTACAGTCTTCTAAGACAGGGACCACAAGATTTTTCACCAGCAATACTCACAGTTCTGTGGTATTACAGGTAATTAAATATTCTTGTGTCAGTATTGATCTGTACGGGGAATTTTGGCTGCCCTAAACAATGCCTCTGCTCAGTAGACTTTACCAGATTAGTAATTTCTAAAAAGCCTAAAAAAAAAAAAATGCATGTTAGTGTGCTGTGCTGACAATGCCCACGAGCAAGCATGGCTTATAATTTATTTTCCTGCAAGTTAAAGGTTTGACTTTTAGCAACAGCTTGGAAAAAAAACCTTGGCCTTTTCTTTGGGTTGTATCCCTGCCCACTCTCAATTTCTAAGAGGTAGTATTTCTAAGAGGTTAAACTATGAAGTGGCGGCTGTATCAAAGAATATAGCAGCGTAGTTATGTTAGGCAAACACTCGTACCATCTCTTGTCTGAAAGCTGCCACAGGGGTGTGATGAGGAGAGCTCCATGCTCCTTCTTCACATCCCAAAGATTGCAGAGCCCTGCCAGCTTTGGTGTAACGCCCTGTGCTGGGTCTGACTGTATGGCACTACCATATGGTAGAATATTCCTCTAATGGATAAAAATGTTATCCTCTCTGAAGCTTTAAGAATTTAGAAGTAAAGTCATTTTATCTTCTCGTTTCTGCTGGAGCTTTTACATGCCATACAGAGTCATGCTTACAGCTTGTGTAGCTGTTACTGCTTTCCAGTGCAGTCTTTCTCAGGAGTGCAGATGAATTCTGTATGACATGATTCCTTGGAGAACTGCCACCTTTTCGACTTGCTGCCTAAATAGATTGCCTAAGTTTTGGGACAAAAATTTGACTCTCTTCAATTCTGAGAAGCTAGTGATTATTTGTTTTAGTTTCAAAGGCTTGGGCGATTGCACATAGCTTTTATTGTTTGAACACTAGGCAAAGTGTTCAGCTTATTTCCTCCTCATTCAGTTTTTTCTTCAAAAATTGAGCAAATGGAGAATTGGTAGTTTTAAAGCCTTGTTTGTAGGAACTACAGGTAAGTTGAGTCACTGAAATACCTTAGTTTTATATAATCCTATGTTTTGGCTTCTGATTTATTGGAGCTAATAGCTCATTTATTCTTTTATGTTCTGTTTTTTCTGTGACAAATCTGAATATTAATTTCTACTTACCTTTGCAGTTCTAAAAATATAGCCTTGCTTTAAGATATCTTAAATTTTAAACAATGTTGGCTGATGCCAAGACTTTTGTAAATGTTAAATCTATAAAGGAGTATTTACTTTCTTATTAATACTAGAAAAATGTCAGACACGCCTGGTTTTGTGTTTGAGCTTCTCTTCTGCGGTGTGTGGAGGAGGCGAGTATTCCAGCCATCCTCCAGTATCCTCAACCAGGCATATCTTCAGAGGAAAATCTTACTCTAGAGTGCTGCTGTAGATTACTTTCTTTTTTTCTTACATTTAGCCAGTATAAGTAATTCAGAAAAGATCGAATATATAATGTGAGCTTATTTTGGAGTTTTTGCCATGTAAACTTTGGTAATAAATTTGATAATCATGGAACCAGGTGACAGCTTTCCTTTCCCTGTATTTTGCAGCCTCTTGGGATGCAAAGCACTGAAACTGGTGTGGAACAGAAATAGATCTAGAATGTGTACGTGTCCAGAAGGGTACGTCCAAAAAGGATATTAGTCCCTACCTGAAACAGTTGCTGGAGTGCCAGCTTACAAAACAAACTCCTTCCTGAAAATAACTCAATTAGTTGAATAAAGCTACTTTCTAAGGCCCAGTGTACTTTACATTCTTCAGCCATTTCTGGATAATAATAATTCTGCTTCCAATTAATAATGATTGTAGAATATATTAGAGATAATGGTTGTGAGATGACAGATTATTTTTTAGTGACTTTTTGGAACTACAGGTCACATGTACATAAAAGTGAGTATTTACATAAGGGCAATGGAAGAGATTCCTACTCTCCTCCCAAATCAAACGGATGCTTCCCATTGTGCTCTTCTTGCAGGGCTTTGACCAACTGCGAGTGGAAGGTTTGCTTTGTGATGTGACGCTTGTTCCAGGAGATGGTGACGAAGTGTTTCCTGTTCACAGAGCCATGATGGCCTCTGCAAGTGATTACTTCAAGGCTATGTTCACAGGTGGTGTTTTTGTTAACGTAATGCATACTGCTACCTCCCAATTGCCATTGTTTGGACACTCAGACGCGTGTTCAGTGTTGTGTGTGAATCAGCCCAGGACTGCAAACAACTCTATGTAGTTGTACTCTCTCTGCAGTTGCCTATGGGGTTTTAAATGAGACTTCAAAATCTTTTAATTTTGTATAAGTTTATGAAATTATTTCAACCCAATCAAAATGATTATATGAACTTACCTACATGTCTTTTTCAGGAGGAATGAAGGAACAGGATTTAATGTGTATTAAGCTTCACGGTGTGAACAAAATAGGCCTAAAGAAGATCATTGATTTCATTTATACTGCAAAACTCTCCCTTAATATGGACAACCTTCAGGACACTCTGGAAGCTGCCAGTTTTTTGCAGATTTTACCTGTTTTGGACTTCTGTAAAGTATTTCTTATCTCTGGGGTAAGGCTTACTACTTGTTTCACATTGACAATGATTAACATCTTAGTATTTTTTTTAATAAGAACAATGACTGTGTAATAGTCAAAGTTAGGTCTAAAACATGCCATTATTCATAATTTGCATCCACAGAGAACAAGTTTGCTTTGTACTTTTTTTTTTCCTGAGTATTAAGTACACTGTGAGCCTGATATAAATGTTATCCCACACTAAAATTCTTCTAATTCCTGAGCGTACTGCAGTGATGATAGCAGTGATGATAATCAGAGTTTTCAGATTCCTCACTGGATTTCTTAGTGCACGCCCTCACGCTCTGTATTCTTCCACAAGAAAGCTACTTGGTGAGTTAAACTGAAAAAAATAATAGAAGAGCGAGCTGCTGTTGCTGCTAATATACTTTCTTGAAACCTTTTTGTTTTGAGGAATGAAGCCTACAATTGTAGTGATCATCAGAGACTATTACATCTTCTTTATAAACCAGTGAACTTGGTCACAGTCCTTCAGAATAAAATATCCTCTAAAGGGATTACTAATAGGAATGTTACAGAAATGTTGGTTATATGAGAAAAGTAGCTACAGTGATTTTACATTTTGCACAACTAAATGTGGCTTTGAATGCCTGCTAGGAAATATTTTTTTCACAATCGCCAGAATAAATGCTTTTGTAAGGAGGGGACAGTCCCCACAGTAGCAACCCTCTCCTCTTCCACCAATAATGGTTAGTTAAAAGAATAATACTTCTGTAGCATGGTTGCTTTTGTGCAACTGGAACAAATAAAAAGTTTGCCCTGTAAAACAGGGTGCTGTAGTTCCAATGCAGTACCGCTGATTTATGGTTTAGAGTTGCCCGGCTGATTTTTATTAATTATAGAGTTTAAAATCTCAGGTCCTGAACCCTTCTCTTTAGGAAGGGGGAACTTGGATGACAACCTTTTTTTCCTCGTCCTTTCCTTCCCTTTTTCAGACTTAGTGTCCTGTTTTGTTTTGAGGCTGTGCTTTGGAGAAGAATGCCATGCTCCCTTCAAGTTTAATGTCAAACAGTTTTGCAGTTTTCTCTGTATTAAAAACAAACTTATGTTTTTGCAAAAGCAAGAGAGCTGTTAAAAGATTTAGCTTGTCAAGGAGTGACTGACTTCTTGTGTAAGCTTTTTCCTGGGGTCTGTCTCCATGGGTGGGAAGAGGCATGTAAGGGAAGGGATGTGACATGAAAACACTCCATTTATCTGGCTCCAACCTCTTGTTAAACGCATTGAATTTATACTCCTCTGTTTAATCTTATTGTCTATTAAGCATAGCTCACGTACACATTTGGTCAACATGGTTGTTTTTCAGAGATTTTGGTTTTTCAACATCCTTTGCTTCTTAAATGTGAGATAGCAGAGGTTTCAGGGTCTCACTGCATGCACTCATTCTAGTGTTACAGTTTACTTACTGCATATATTTTGTATGCTTTGGTTGTAGATGCTCTATTTCTATAGCTGAAACAGTGCAATAGCAGAATATGGGTCCAGTTATCTGTTTTCTAACTTAAACACAGTATATAAGCAATGACAACGTATGATACTTCAATACTTTTCCTAGTTCTTGCCCTGCTGTCTTGTATCAGTATAATTCTGTGTCCTGCCAATGACAAGGAGTGCCTACTTTGTGGGGCTGCAGAGTGAGAGTGCTGTAAGGGCTGTGCTGTCAAAACAGTTCTGTCTAGAAGAGACACTTTGGCATTATTTCTAATGTTTCCTAGGGTTTTTCTGATGTTGATGTTCGTTTTAATTGCTTATATACCATACTATAACTCTCACTTTACCTGTAACAGGGAAACTGGTGTGTTCTGCATGAATTATAATATTGTTTGGAATTCAGCTTTCTGATAGTCTGTAATGAGAAATAAAGAAGCCGCTATTCCCGTTGGTCTTCAGAATACAGGCTCAGAAATGTGACCTCCCTGATGAAGACCTGTACTGGGATTTATGCAAACAAGAGGACACCAAGCTGCTAATAGCACCAATCTGTTTCATAAAAAAAAGTGTTAGAGGCATTTAGGCTCTATAATGCTACTGTTTTGCTTTTAATTTTGGCATGTTTTTTAATTGGCTGGTTCTCTGAAAATGCTGTGATAATGTTTCATTAATCTTAATACTCTTAAATCCTACACCACCTATTTTACATTGCTCGGGGTTTTTTTTAATCTTCAAAATGATGCAGTCTGCCTCTCTGGGGCTGACATGGCTATAAATGCCAACTTGGAATAAGGTCTTGGTGTTCTTTTGAGTCAGGGATTCGGAGCCGCCTCCCTTTGATGGGAGGTGAGCCCCAGGGACACTGTGGTGCCCTTTCCCCTTTCTGGGTAGGGCAGCTGCTTGTTTATTTTACTTTCTTGGGGAAAGAGCTTCTTTCATCTTACATTGTGTTATTTGGAAGGATTTGTGTAATTGTTTAAAATGCTTAAAGGCTTGTTTTCTGAAGGTTCCTTCACTGACAGTGTTGACTCAGTCACTGTTTTAGTTCAAGCAAGAAACACCTTGTTTGATGCCACATTTTGAAATACTTTATGTATTTATATATTAATACATTTATATAGTGTGTATATATATATATTACATTTTGAAAGACTTTATTAATTTCCTTAATTTTATTGATTCTCTTTTCTGAAGTACTTGCATTTATACTAATGTCTAAGGGGACATAATCTCATTCATTGTGTGACCGTAGAGGAAGTACAAACTAAGTTTTGCTGTTTAACCTAGTTATGTTCTCATCCTCCTTGTATAAAGAATTTTTGAATTAACTTACTTTTTAATTTGTTAGAACAGGAACAAGAGTTGGTAAGCAAATGGGTTGGGTTTTTTGCTTTAATTACCATATTTTAGCATTACAAAGTTTACTTCCCATTATACTAGTTTCACTGTTATTGAAGGAGCATTTCTGTGGTTTCAGTGAATTTTCTGAGCAAGTCTTGAGTTTATTTCTGCTGAAATGAGCTGACTGAGAGCAGCATCTGAGAGCTGATGTAACCACTCTTAGATACTTCATTGTTTTTGAATTCTCTAGGGAGTCCATTATTAAAGAGATTATAGAAGTCAATTTATGTAAAGCATAATGTAACTATCACTTCATGAGAGGGTATTGGAAATATTTATAAAGAACATGAGCTTAAGGTAACAGCTTAATTTGCATACAAAAAAATAATGAGATCTTAAAAGAATGGTGTATGTTGTAGCTGTCTTGTAAGTGTTCTTTTATTTGTTCTGCATTTATATGTCTCCTGTCAAGTAGCCCATTGCTCTGATAATCCTTATTCTGCAGCTGAACAGACTCCCAGAAAAACAGTGGAATACCTCCGAAGATATTTTCAGTCTTACTTTTAGTATTGGTTTTAAATATTTATAGCTATACTATAGACTAGGAGTACTCCCAGGTTCACATCTAAATGAGCCATAATGTAATTAATAAAAATGCCATGGAAATGTTTTCAGGGTAGTGAGTATTAGAGAACTCGCAATGATGTTTTTGTGAAAGTAGCAGCAATGTACAAAATCGAGAAAGATGAGAAGCCTATCCAAGTAAATTACAGCACTCGGGAAAATCACAGTGTAATGGGGAAGGAGATGTTATACTTTAATTAAAGAAATCATTCCAGAACACTGAAAATTTATGTCTTGGCTGTACCTTTCATATGGCTGCACAAGAAAATTTTATTCCTTCTTTAACTGTGCTTTACGTTTTTGTAACAACTAGAAAACTGTCAAATATTGAGGTCTCAATATTTGGAAGTCTGTCTTATCACAAGGACTTGTTTAACTGAGGGTGGAGCAAGATAGTCTCAGTTTTGTGGGAGCGTGGGATCTAACGCTGGGCCCTGCCAGGCAACAGAAACCACCTTTTCTAACGTGGGAGTACTACTGATTTTTGTTTTCTGACCTGGTCAGATTTCTGTGCTGTTATTTCTGGACTTTTGTATATACGAGCCCACAGAAAAATTAGAGATTTCAGGAGAATGTAAGCTCTTTTAAACATAGACCCTTTGAAAGACCATGTTAAGTGCTTCCATGTCTAATAGTCATTAAAACAAAAGGAAGTTAGATGCCTAAATATTTAGTGGTAGTGGGCTCGAGGGCTTGATTTTCTGTGCATGTTTTTTCTCCTGAGTTGTTCTCTAGGGTCCTCATACTTGTAATCATTTTGCTCTGTGTCCAATTCTGTGGTATTTTATAGTCAATTAAGTTTTCACCAGAGCTGGGGAAGTGATTTCTTCAGAAGTTCAAAGAATCAAGTCAACTGCTTTCTTGAGAAAGTACTTTGGCTTTTGCATTTGTTTTTTCAGGCTATAATAGTAGTGTTGTGCTTGACCTTTTTTTTTTTTTTTTTTGAAAAGCTTTTTAGTATTTTCTGGAACTTCTGCTTTGTAATGAGCAATTACAGTGAGTAATGTGAAATGAGCAGCTCTGTGCGGTAGACAAAGCCCAAGTAAAATAGGATTTAAAAGTCTTGACTTCTTAGGAAGTTGCTTAGCTGTTTGACCAATTATGGCTTTTAGCTGGTTCTGTGTGAGTATCTTACTAGTTACTGGATTCACTGTACAGCCAGTCTCATTTTTGTTGATATTTCCATTCCTCCCGTTTGCTTCAGTGGGATTTCCAGAAGTAGCAGTCCCTTCTGTTGATGAGCTCCTGATTGACTGACTTCATAGAGAACGGTTTCCACAACTCTCATAAGTACCATAGCATAAGTCAAACTGTATTTTTTTTTTTCCGAAATCAACACTTGAGTTAAATAGCATTATTGTATGTTAATGCTGTCCAATTTTTAATATTAAAGTGGAATTGACTGTTGCATTCCATTCTGTTGAAGGATTACTTTTTGTCTCAGGACTTAAGAATCCCTAGAGTGTATACTTTTATAACTGTGAAATCTTTGCAATATAATTTAGCCTAGTACATTGTTTGTAGTCTTAGAGCCCAGTAAAATTGATAATAGTACTTTTACTAAGGAAAGTAACCTTTAAGAAAATATTTCATATGGTATGCTGATTTGAGGTGAGTGGTGGAATTTGTTAGTGAGCCAAAGTGCACCATTTCATAATCATAATGGGGAGTACTTACAATCATAGTATATTAAAACAAAACAAAACAAAACAAAAAAACCCCAACAAAACAAACCACAACCCTGAGTGCAGTACCATTCCAGTGGACTAACTAAGGTAGTAAAAGGTAAATTTTCTGAGATTTAGGAGGTGACTGGAAACCGCTGATGTCATGTTCATCAGTCACTAACAGCGTGTAAAGCGTCAATAAGTTTCTCAAATGTAAACATTTCAGGAATATATTCAATTGCATAGAATTACAGTGTACCATAGTTATGATAATAAGTCAACTGGATGTATGCTGGTCACTTGGTAACTGACATGTATTCTGTGGTAGCTCTAAATACTTAATTGCAACCTGAACACCACATACCAGTGGTACATAATCTGTACATTTTTGCTTTGATCTTTTGAGTTTGGGTATGCCTTTTCTGTATGCAATAATATCTTTCTGTCTGCTTACCTTGATATGGAGAAATTGCTTCATCTCTGTAGTTTGATGCCAGTAAATAAATTCCAAAGTAGTTTTTAAATACAATATCTGTATAGCAAGACTTAAGATTTGTGGTATACTCTGTCAGCTGCTTAAAGGGTGATTTTTCCATTGTTTTATTTTTATTATACAGTTTAAAAGAAATTTTAGAAGTAAGAATACCCTGTTTCATTTACTTAATTTAAGGTATGCTATTACTTCCATTATGCAGTTCATTTATGTAAAGGGAAAATCCTAAAAGGAAATGTACATATATTAGTTTGATACTGTCTCAGAAATAGTCAAAAGAAGAAAAAATGTTTCTTAAGCATCAGAGAATGTTTATATCAAAATATAATCACATCAGCTAGCAATAGACCTATAGAACTATGTGGTCTGACTTCTAATACAAAAATAATTTCCATATATATCTTGCATGGGTTTTGTATGATAGAACTCCTGACAGTCTGCCACACATTCATCTTCTAGATAGAACCTGATTAGAAGATTAGTGTTCCTTGAGAGGAAGAATGAGATTTGGAACCTTTGACTGTATCAAGGTGTTTCAGTATGTGTGAATGAAGACTTGATGACTGCAGATCTTAACTTCAGGGCAAGTTAGATTGGTTCATAGTGAATTAGAAAAATCTCCTATTCCCATACTCATCAGACTTTTGAGTTGTCTAGTATTAAAGGGCAACAATCAGATTGAGTTATATAGTATTAAAATCTTGTAAGCTCTGACATGACCAAAAGGTCATTTTAGGGTTTTTGAATTTTTAGGCTGCAATCAGGTCATAGTCATCAATCTTCATAATCTTTTTTGAAAAATAACCATGACATTTGGAAGCCTAAATTCTTTTGGCATTACAAATATATTGCGAATCACAAAGTTGTGGAAATTGTCAACATTGACATGCACAAAACTCATTGAGTAGGACTGACATGCACAAAAACTAGAAAGAGTGTGTAAATGAAGCTTGGAGTAGAATAATGACTGAATTCAAAAAAAGCTGCAATTCTCAGCGAGAAGCATTTGTAAACTCCGCTTGATTTGTATACGTACTATGGAGCTTGCTGGGATAAATCGGTTGGGTTCACTGGAGACCCACTTGAAGTTATCTCCTGCCCCTCCCATCTTTCTTGCTTCATCTGCGTTGGATCCCAAGTGACCTCAGAAAGTTAGGACTCAAAGATGTAAGAAAGGTAGATGCAGCAGCAGCGTAAGAGAGACAGTTATGAAGATATGTTCACTCAAGTATTGAATTAAATTAGGGTATGCTCCATACTGCAGGGTATTTCTAGGGGAAATCCTCCTAGGTTTATTATTAAAACAAAACAAACCAACAACTATATGCCATATAATTATATATATAATATACTACCTTTATCTTAATTTTGGCATGTACTTAATTTTGAACATATTCTGTAAGAGCACCACCTCGATTCACCAAAGATCCAGTTCTGTTTGTTTCGAAGGAATGTATTCATGGGATTGAACACTGGAAATAAATTGTCTGAAATAGGAGGCATTGGAGAGGTAGCTGTGCCATTCTCTTTGGCTGCATTATGACAATGCAATTTTAATAATGTTAGAAAATGTCTCATGGCAAGACCTATGTTTTCATTATTCTCTGTAACCTTGGGCAGATCACCTCTCCCTTAGCTGTACTTTCCACATGTCTGTCTTGCAAAGATGTTTGCAGAGCTATTCAAAGAGGAAGTGCTGCATAATTGCTATGTATCATCATTGTATAATGTGTTTGGCATAATTAATACATGCCATCCGCTTGTTACTTCTCATTTCTTCCTTCAAAGTAAGGAATACTTTGGGTCTTCCCTTGGAGTCATGAATATATAGATCACATTGAATATTTATTTGCTCGTGTGTAAATCACCTTGAGTATTGCGAAATGATGAAATACTGCTGATTCTGCGGTGTTCATTAAATTCTGCATTATCCTTTAGACACCAAGTTACGAACGTGTTTTGATTCCTCTTTCTGTTTACTTAATAGGTTTCATTAGAAAACTGTGTTGAGGTTGGGCGAATTGCCAACACGTACAATCTCACAGAAGTGGATAAATACGTTAATAATTTCATCCTGAAGAACTTCCCTGCATTATTAAGTACTGGTGAATTTGTGAAACTCCCCTTTGAGCGTCTTGCCTTTGTGCTTTCAAGTAATAGCCTTAAGCACTGCACTGAACTTGAACTCTTCAAGGCGGCTTGTCGCTGGCTACGGTACGAGGAGCCTCGGATGGAGTACGCTGCGAAGCTGATGAAGAACATCAGGTTTCCGCTGATGACGCCCCAGGATCTTATTAACTACGTTCAAACAGTGGACTTCATGAGAACTGACAACACCTGTGTAAACTTGCTTTTGGAAGCCAGCAACTACCAAATGATGCCATACATGCAGCCGGTTATGCAGTCGGAGAGAACTGCCATTCGGTCGGACAGTACTCACTTGGTGACGTTGGGGGGAGTGCTGAGGCAGCAGCTGGTTGTCAGCAAGGAGTTACGGATGTACGACGAAAAAGCCCACGAATGGAAATCCTTAGCTCCCATGGATGCCCCCAGGTACCAGCACGGCATCGCCGTGATTGGAAACTTCCTTTACGTAGTTGGGGGCCAGAGCAATTACGACACGAAAGGAAAGACGGCGGTTGACACGGTCTTTAGGTTTGATCCTCGCTACAACAAGTGGATGCAAGTCGCATCTTTAAATGAGAAGCGCACCTTCTTCCACCTAAGTGCCCTCAAAGGACATTTGTACGCAGTCGGGGGTCGAAATGCAGCGGGTGAGCTGGGTGAGTGTTTCCCCTGAAGCATGGCTTCTCGCCTCGCTTTTCAGGCCTTTGAAGTACTGTGCTGCCCAGTGGATGGGTGGAGAGGAAACAAGTGAGTTGTTGGCACGCAGCTTCTTTCTGCAAGTACTGCAGATGCATACAGAAATTTGCCTGGGTGGTGTCAGCAGCTGAAGGGCTGCCCCAAAAAAATTCCCAAATACACGTGTCTTGTGTATTGATACGTAATATCCAATGTCTTCACCTTTAGCGTCAAACATGAAGTGAGTTTATGTGTGTATATAGATACGGATGCAGCTATATTAAAAAAAATCATTACTTAAGCTGAGAAACCAAACTCTTTTCACTCTTAAGGAATACGTGACTTTGTAACTGAAACTTAGTGTTCAATGAAGGCTGCATTTAAAAAGATGCAAATTTGGATAGTGATTTTGAAATGCTAGTAATATTTATTAAAAGGTAGGCTAATGTCTGAGTGATTCGTTTCACTCACAGATCAGTGAGATCCAGATGTCCTGATATTCTAGTCTTTTTAATTACTAAAAATGTTACTTTTTGCCTGCGATCTTGTGACTACACAGCTAGCTTATTTATACGAATGACTCTGTGCTGCTGTCTCCTTTTTTTTTCCCCCTTTGCAAACGATGATTCATTCACATCACTAAAAAAAAAAGGAAAAAGAACGATTTCAGAGAAATAAGATGGTTGGAAACAAAGAATAAATATGTGGTAACTTTCAATTTGACAAAAGACTGTAGAGGATGGCCTGTATTAATCCACTGCATTTTCCAAAGCCATATTGGTTAGCATTTGCAGTGAAGTCTGGGAGTGTACATTTAATTGTAAATTTGTCCGTGCTTTAAAATTGAAATGTTACAGTTTTTATGCTTGGAATTTTTGCATAATGTTACGTCTGGTTTAGATATAATATTTCATTATTTTGTTTGCTGCTTTCAGCCCAATGCTTAACTGTGTCTTGTCAAGTCTTTGTAGCAGTAGTTCATACTGCTGAGATTTGCTCTTTAGAACTGCGCTGATATCCTTAGGTGCAGTGAGAAACATAGTTAATTGAAACAACACAAAACCTAATTTGTGCCACAGCATCTGTGACTTTTTAATTAATGCATCTTGGTCATTCACATATACACTTTGTTTCATGATCAGACTTTCTTAGGAAACATACAGTGCATTGCTTCCCCTATGCAAAACTGGGCAGGTTTTGCTAGAAGTTTAAAATTAATTCCAATATTTGATGACATGAGATATTTAAAAATGCCACCTGCTCCCAAACAACATGGGAAGCTGTTTTGCAGTAACTTGTTTTCCTTAGCCATTTTCTGATGCAGATCCAGAGGTTTTCTGAGTTTTTCATATGTCTCTTTATCTAGCTGAAAATATATACTATAATCCAGCTTAATGTCCTGCAAAAGACCAATTATACAAACTAATATGTATTGATCCTTATCTTGAGTATCAGAAAACCTGACCTTCATTGAGCTGTTTTCTAATGGTATGAATTAATAGCAGATAATCAGATTGCTGTCCTTGTGTACTGTACCATCTAAACAGAGCAGGGTTTATAAGGATGTCAGTGAAAAAGCTGCAAGTCTAACAAAATCAATATGAAATAATACTGTCACTAAGCCAGTGCAACCTGTGCGTACAGCAAGCTTTAAGCACAGTGTTTTTTCTGAAATGAGATGCAGGCAGTATCGTTCTGCTGACCTCCACAATTCTGCAGCTTTAATTAAAATACAAAATCTATCACCTGTCTAAAATTCTTCTGTAAAGGTATCATTAAAATGCTGCAACAATTTCCACACAGACCTGAAAAATGTCATTGGAGCATTCTGCGGAAAGAGCACTGTATAAATGCTAAATATTGTAGCTGCCCGATGCTTTGATTTGGGGCTTTTCTTGTTAATTGTGAGGCAAGTCACTTTTCATTTTCATGTTTCTTTCATAAACCTTGACAGCTGAAAGATGAAATCCAGCTTAAACTTCCTCTTCTCTTCAGATGAGAAAAACTCTCAAGCTTTTCATAGAAGAGCAGGTCAAATGTGTATTGAACAGGTATTAAAGAAGTTGCCTTTGGGTTCAAACTAATTTCAATCCGTTGTTAGAGAGGAAAAATTCCCCAAACCTGAACCAGCTTTCCAGAGGATCAGCTCTTACGGAAAAGGGCTGAAGGATTAATTACTGAAATAATTTTCTTTTTTTTTTTTTTTTTTCCTGATGTTCACTGGAATAAAAATTACACTTTTTTGAGGCACTCTATCAAGCTTTTCCAAACCAGTTTTCAAATGTTTAATTTTCGGAGAACTTTGTAAACACCGCTTGCTACCTCAGTAGTATGTGCTTTTACCAGTAAAAAGCAGCTGCTGTTTTCACAGTGCCACTGAGAAAAGTTCCGTTCATTGGGAAGGACGAGTGAATTTGCATGTATATGGTAAATGTATCTTTGAAACATACTGAATTATGGAATTCTAATTCAGATTTTTCAACCCTGTGACAATTTAAGACTGTGCAGAAGCATGCACCGCTCCTAGAAGGATTGGGTGTAATTCTGGTTGGTGGTTCTTCAGTTGCAAAGCGGGCACCTGCCAAAGGTACTGCCAGAAGGCAGAGAGCAGCACGCTGGCACGGGGAGACCAGCCCGGAGAAGGCAGGTGTGCAAAACACAAGACTTTTTGGAAAAGGAGACAGAGGGGAAACCAGGTGCAGTTCACAGATACTCACGAAGCAGAGTTCATTGGCAATTTCCAGCTGTGCTGTTGCGCAGGGTTTTCTCAGAGAAGTAGCTTTTTATAGCTCTTTTCGAAAGAGTTGGTGATGATGGCAGATGCCGTGCCTTTAAGCATTAGAAAACTGATGCAGTTAGATACTTCCCAGATATTTCAGGTTCTGCTGTTTCAGGCTTGAGTCGAGTTTGGGATTTTTATGTATGAGTTTTTCCTAAGCACCTCAGGGGATGTTGGGATGTGACTAAACCACAGATTCATCAATACCTTCATCATCATGTTGCGACAAAGAAAGAGAAGACTTCTAGTCCAGGGCAGGACAGTTAAGTGTTCTTCTGACCCCCTGGCCAACAAGTAGGAAGGCACTTATTTTCTAGGTGCTCTCTCTGATGCTTATCCCTCAATTCAAACAACTGCTCGTTTACGTGAAAACTTCTCTTATGAGTCTATATAATACATATTTTAAATATTGTTGGTTAAGAAGAAAAATATGCCTCATTACCCAGTTGGGCTGTTTGCTGTCAGTGTAGTACTGTGAATATCAAACCAAATGTGAACTGGAGGACCTCGTGCATAGGAACTTACTTTGAAGTGGCTCCTTGCTATGCTAGGGACAGAATTACTCAGGGCTCTGATTTAACCAGGTCAGGTCTGAGTTGCGCAGAAGCAAGCTGTATTATAGAAATACTAAAACAAAATGAAGATCCTGGGTTTTGGGACATCCATCACACACAGTTGCCAAGTGCTGCTGTAATAAACCTCAAGACACATTAGAAGCTCCTGACAGAGAAGTGGTAAATATCTGTATACTCCTCAAATAGCATCACAGATGGCACTATAAAATGAGTGCAGACTGAGCATCCCTTGGGACTGCCAAAGCTTTGTGTATTTTTGAGATTGCTTAATTCTATTAAAATGAGGCCTGTCTTCCTTGGATTATGGTAATGAACAGATCAGAAGTTCCACTGTTAAACATAAATAAAGCCTGATTTGAATAGTTCAAGCTGTTGGGAGAATGAGTGCATCAGTCTCAAGCTATATAGGATGTATACTTAAGTTCAGTGAAGTAGCAGTTCTTTTCAGTGTGCTCTGTCTGGAGGTGATGTATCATCTGCAAATGAGGCATCTCGATGACTCTCTTAAATTGACGGGTGCCATCAACAGCTGGAATTTTCAGTTTTTTTTTCCTTTTCAGTGCAGAGAGAGATCTTGTTAAAAGAGAGAAATGGAATGACCTTGCAAGGGAACAGGGAGACAACTCCGTGGAACAACCAAACAGAACATTAGGGTTTTTTCAGCTGGGAAGTGGTTAGCTTTGTTTCAGAGCCTGTAGATTTGGGATTTATGTCGGGATGGTTTGTCTGAAATACTGTCAAACAGTACTTCAGCCATACTGGTAATGTTTAAGAATTTTGAAGCCACATCAGAAGGTGCCGGATCTTGGACTTGACATCATAATTTCTCAGATAACTGATGCCTTTACAGTGTGGTAAATAGTGATGGCAGCAGTGTGTGCCAATTTCTGCATGATTTATCTTCTCTTGCTGAAGTGATCTTTTGGCTATGGTTTCTCTTAAATGCAATCCATAGTGAAGAGTGAAGTAAATAGTTGTCCAGTGCTGAATGTCATCTTAATCTGGTTGCCGCTGGCTTTGCGATTGCTTTGTACATACTCTGCTCTTCCTGTCCTTACAGTGTGTTAGAAATGTAAGTTCCTCACCTCTGCAAGGAGTGGAAGCTGTGGGAAAGAGGGTGCCTTTGTTTTTGTGAAAGCAAGTAGAATGATGATTTCGGTGCAGCATAGCAGCGAACAGCAGGTTGGAAGGGTCTGCTGTCAGGGTAGAACTGGGACAGCTATAATTACTCACATGTCAAAGCTGGTTTTCTCTGTTCATGAAATTTCTGCACATCTTTGTCTTCTGATTGCTAAATAGAGCTGAGTAGAAAAGAATATTGGACTGGTTGAATACATATATACAAGAAAGAGCACGGTTTTATTCGGGAATTAGGCAAATACTTCACATGGTGTCAAGATGGCAGTACACAGAAATACAACTCGTAGATTTAATGTTGGGTGTAATTTGTGGAGTCAGTTCTTTCTGCCTATACTTCTATTTGAGCAAGAGGCTGTCTCCAGTATTTACTGGCTTTATAGCTAAGTCCTTGATGGATATACAAAATCTGCAGGATATCAAATAAGAGAAATACCAAAATTTTTTTAAGAGTTTTTTTTGACTTGATTTTAAAAAAATAATAATAATCAGGCTTTATTTCAAAAATTTTCATTGTAGAGGAAATCTTGAATGCCTTTTCATACCTTTCTTTATCCAGACTTTTATCTATCTGTACATGTGTATAATGTGAAAGGCAGCTCGAGGCTCTTTTCAAATGGCTGAGGTAGGGGATTGCAGTAACAAGGAGGCTAGATTGTAGGTAAGTGTTTAGTGAAGGACTGATCTCTTAGAATTAACTTGGGAACTCACCCATGTTGGGCAGGGTTTTTAAATCACAAATTTGGCATATCAACAGTAGTGTATAAAAACACATAACTTCAATTACTTTGCAGCAATTTTTTATTTTTTGTCCATCTTGCAAAGCTCTGAGATGGCTGGCATGATTGAGAGGATGTGTGCCAGGCACCCTTACAAAACTAGAAGCATTTCAGGCTGTCATAACTATTTTTAAACAGTTTCAAGAATGTGAAATTAATCACTTCTTCTTTATGAATCAATGTATATAATTTGTTTTGAAAGAAATAGGAATTTAGTGGGGTTTGCCTTATATCGAGAACTTAATGTTCCGGACCAGCCATTTTCTGTATTTTGTAAATTTAAATTTCAGCTCCTGGAGGGGGAAAGGCTGAAGAAAATCCAGTGAGCTCGAACAATTTAGCAATTCTCACGTGCAATATAGATTAATTTTCTTTTTAATTATTGTTTTATTTTAACCTTAGATGATGCTGAACTGGTGGTCAAACAGTAGTCCTGACATTGGAACTGACAACTTCTGTTTTGAGACAGTAATTGCATGGAATTATGAAATATCACCCTATTTTGCAACAATAAGGAGGTTGTGTGTTTTACAGAAGCGAAAAGATAATTCAGAAAGTCAATGTAACGTGCTCTTTGCTAAATTTTTCCTTGACTAGGGATCTTTTGGAGGTAATCCGAGACCACAGATGTACCTTACTCTTCCAAAATACTTCAAAGCATTTTTTTTTTTTTTTTTTTGAGAGTCATTTGGAGTTTAGAGTGAGGTACTTCATAATCACAGTATGAGTGTTGCTGATTGATGTAGTTTACTGGCCTGGCCAGTCCTGCTAGTCCTGCAGGTTTATACTAACATGAACTAGTTTCTGCCTTTAAAACGTAAAGCTTCTCAATTGCCAATTTTTTACTTTTTTTTTTTTTTAACTCTCAGTTGTGTAATCCTGGACTGTAAGTCACATCACCGATTCCATAGAGCTGGCTCAGATTTTCTACCCTTGATTGAGTAAAAAGCCTGTTCTAGAGCAAGTAAAATACCGCTTTTAAAGACAGATTAAATTTTGTACGCATAGTACATAAACCTCTGTCCTCAGAGATTAAGCATTGTATAACAAACATTAGAATCTGATTCTTAATTATTTAAAATGAGATTTAATTTGTCTTTAAGACAACACAATTATTGATAATTGCTTTGTGCATCATAAGGTCACTATACTACAGGGTTTTTCATCTGGTCATATTGTACTATTCAAGCTGACAATCTCTACAGCTTGCTTAGATCCATTATTAAATCTGTTTTCTATTTTTATTCTCTGTGTTTACCACACAGCCCTCTTCCTGCAAACCCGTGTCTCTTCCATCCCACTTCGAAGAGAGGATTCTTCCTCAGAAATGCTTTTTCTAGGACACCTGGGCTCTGGGTTTCTTTGTAACTTTAGTACTAACCTCTGCAATTTCTGATTTGATAAATCCTTTGATCATTTAAACATTAGAATTCACAAAGAAAAGTGCACAAATGGACCTGTCTATTGACACAGGTGCTGCTTCTCTCCATTCGAGATTCAATGTTTCATCACAAGATGTTTCATCTTGTTGGGGGTTTTTTGTTTTTGTTTTTGTTTGTTTGTTTGTTTGCTTAGGTTTTTTTTATTTTGGTTTGGGTTTTTTTTTTTTTTAAAGCTTGACTTTTGTAAACTGTTTGACTTAGTGACTTGCATATGCTGTGCTGTGTGGTGCTGTGCAGGTACTGAAAAGATTGCAAGACAATAGAAAATTAGTCAACAATTGCTGCCTCCTTTTGAGGGCATAGGACCATTTCAGTGCGGAATACCAAGAAGAAAATGTACCCTGACTTTCTGCACGGATGGGACATTGCTGAACACATGGATCTGAGAAAAATGTTCTGGTAGCCAGATGTATTGATCCTCTCTGAGATAGGTTTTAAGCTTATTCCCTATCTCTCTACAGCAGATGCTGAAGGGAGTTGTACAATAGGAAAGGGTAGGAAAGCTGAGTTCATCCAGCTTCTGTCATCTTTTTCTGTGATGCCCCGTAGCCATACCTCTGGCAGGGTTCATGATCTGGTGCCAGTTGTATGGTAAGAGGGAATGGCAATGAGGCAGGTGGAAGGCAAGAACACAAGTGGGTTTTTTCTTCCTCCTTGTTCCTCTGGGACAGCGCTCGAGGTTTTTTCCGTATTGTCTCTAGACATAATGCTCAATAATTCCTTTGTCACTTTCTCAGCTGAACAATGTTTCTCATTGATACTTCCTCTGTTTATGAATATATTACTGCCACTGTGACTGTACTCCAAACCAAACTGCCATGCTAGCTTCAACATTTTTATATTCTCGTTTGTTTTAAACAGCCACTGTGGAATGTTACAATCCCAGAATGAATGAATGGAGCTATGTCGCAAAAATGAATGAACCCCACTATGGTCATGCTGGAACTGTGTATGGGGGATTAATGTATATTTCAGGTAAATAATTCATATGATCATTCTCTACGAAACAATTACTTATCTAATTTTTCCTGTTTCAGTGGGAGACAATCAAAATTAGTTTCTGGTTGCAATGGGTTTGCCACGGTATAAGCAGTGATGCAAATTCATGTGAAGCCAGTCACATAGCGTATATACTGCAGTCTGAGAAAATTATTTTTAGATAATATTATGCATTTACATAGTAAAAGACAGCTCTGAACTCCAAAGCAGTTATTCAGTCTAACTGTCAAGATAGGTTTGTTTGTTTTTTTGTGACAACAGCGCATATAAACATTTATATAGCAATAATTGTTAAACACATCTGTTCCGATACATTTTGGAAAGCACTGGAAATTTTAACACTTTAAAGAAGAATGTCTTCCTTCATTAAGCTAATGAAAAGGGTTAAGTTTTCATGTTAAACACAATATATGAATGATTTCTGAACTTTCACTGGTCTTTCATTTGTAAAATGCTCAGTCCTATATGTCACTGAGGTTACAGTTTCATTCCATGCCAAACTGGGGGCAATAGGTTTTCTGAAAATCTGGTACCTGCTCAATTTTGAAAGATTCCATTTCTGTCAGCGATCTCTACAGAGATCACAGACCTCCATATGTTCTCCTGCTGTGATTTTAAGGCCTGTCCTCTAAGACCTAAGCTGGCATTCTGGGTGGGAGGTGGGACAAGGCTGCTTAGCTGTAAAGAACTGGTGGGGAAATGCACTGGAGCAGATTGATCCTCGGGGTACTTTGAAACAGGGCAGCCTTATGCCAGTAGACTAGGAGGGATTTGTTTTAAAATTTTACCATATGGTAGTTTACTTTTCTACGAGCAAGTCCATTAAGCTAGCTTCTAATCATTGTGCTGCTATTTGTACTTTTTTGCCCGTTTGGCTTCTTTCACTGCAGGTGGCACATGTATATGCTCCCTGCTGTGTTTTTTCATACAGATGTTGTGTATTTCCTGCAGATTTTTCTTTTCTTCCTCCCATGAACCTAGACACTTTTGGGGTTGAAAGTGTGAAGATTTGGCTCCTTTGTCATTAAAGCCTCTTCTCTCTGACAGGCTCCCAAGCACTGTCTCTACTATGGCTGTCACTAAGTCTCAGGGCTGGACAGTCCTCCTATTTTTTTCTGTATTTAATTCTTACTGGCCAGCTGAAGAATTAAGTACTTTCTTGCATTACTCCTGTCGACACCATGCCATCTCTGCTCATAATCCAAGCGTGATAACTCAGTGTTGAGTGGCTAGCCCAGCAGGGAGTTGTTCAGTGGCAGTGCATTATCTGCATATTTTCTAGCACCTCAAATATAGTTGCATTATGATCTTAAACCATAGCTAATAAGCCTACAGTGCCTGAAATTGGTGTGACCTGCCCAGTGACCTTGCGGAAAGGTGGGACATTTCATCCACTGATGGGAAATAGTCCTGTGATTTCCCCTGAAGCCTCTCCAACTGCTTTTGCAGGGAACCATGGAGAAGGTCAAAATAGAGAGAACCATAGGCATCTATTAACAGACGACTATTTGAAATCTGTGTGTCCCCTCTCTTCAGTTCAAGTTGATGAAAAAAGTTTTCTGAAGAAAATTCTGCTATGTGATAGGACTGTTTAAAACACAAAATTTCAAAATTTGAAAGGGAAATGGATTCCTGTTTTTCTTGATGGTGAGAAACAAAACTAGCTAACTGAACCAATGTAAGCAAAGAAATAATTTTGCAGAAATGAAGCACAGGTAACAATTTTTTATTCTTTTAATCTGCCAGTATCATTTTATGTAATGAAGTCCTGTATGAGACACGGCTTCTTTCCATAATCACATTTGAAGGCACAAGGTGCATTAAGAATATAATTTGAAATGGAGCACATATGTGATAGTAATCTAAGCTAGTATCAAAAGGTTTTAGGAGAGCTGAATTCAGTCATGAAAATGTACGTTTCTGCTGTTTATTTCAAATTAGGGTGAGTATTGCTCTAACATGTGTTTTATTTCTCTAGGGGGAATTACCCATGATACCTTCCAAAAGGAACTTATGTGTTTTGACCCTGACACAGACAAATGGACTCAGAAAGCTCCGATGACGACGGTCAGAGGTCTGCATTGCATGTGTACTGTAGGAGACAAGCTATATGTTATTGGTGGAAATCACTTCAGAGGAACGAGTGATTACGATGATGTTCTAAGCTGTGAATATTACTCACCAACTCTAGACCAGTGGACTCCAATCGCTGCCATGTTACGTGGGCAAAGTGATGTTGGAGTTGCTGTCTTTGAAAATAAAATCTATGTTGTTGGAGGATATTCTTGGAATAATCGGTGTATGGTGGAAATTGTTCAGAAATATGATCCAGAAAAAGATGAGTGGCATAAAGTATTTGACCTTCCAGAATCACTTGGTGGCATTCGAGCCTGCACTCTTACTGTTTTCCCACCAGAGGACAATACAGGGTCACCGTCTAGAGAATCTCCTCTTTCAGCACCTTAGAAACATCCCTTGACTTATGATGTTGTAGTAACACCTTTGCACTGCATCATGGAGTCTATTATTTTTCTTCAGTAGTTTCTGTTAGGCTTAGCCTACAGCATTTCATACAATTACTGGGAGAAAAAAAAAAAAACAAACAAAAAAAACAACAAACAAAAGAGACTTTGACATTATTTGTGCTGTTTGTTTGGCCTAGAATGTTTGTCAAGTGGTTAACAAAAAGAGGTGTACTGACCCGAGCCAAATGTTTAACAAATGAGAAGATATTGTCTATACAATGTATGAAGTAGGTACGTTATTAATGTTGTGTATTGGGTGTGAGGTACCTTAGAGCTTACATTTGGAAGCCCAGTGAGTCAAATTTGAAGACTTTGTATTGAACTCGTTCATTCACTAAATTTCATAGTTGAAATCCTTTTTTGTTCCATTTTTTGACTGCCGATCACAAGGGGAGGTAGACTACATCAATGTGAACTATGACAGGAGGTTGCCAAGGGGCCTGAGCTACCTCCCTCTTTTCACAGAGTATTTTTGAAAAAATCTCTTTACCCACCTGACTTTGTGGGTGCTTTCAGAGCAGATGAAGTTTCTTAGGCAGAGGGGAGAAATAAAATAATTGTAAAATATTAGCACTATACAGGAAGCGGACCTTGTAGAGACCGGGAGTTTTTTATAATGTGTATTGAGTGTTTTTCCTGAGTCGGTTGAGTGATGCTTCAAACAGAAGATTTAAAATGTTTGGGGTTTTTAATTTGGGTTTTTTTCAGGAATTGGCTTCCGCTTGCATGGGAGCACACACTATTAAGAAATGGGAATTCAGTGCAGTTGTATATTCTGTTATATGCCTGCACTGAATATAGGTAGATAAGGGCTAGAAACATTAACTTAAGCCACTGAATTTGACCAAATTGTTTCATCAGATCAAATTTAATCTACCTTTTCTCCTTTGCTGTTGAGATAACTTGCATAATGTGTCCTCTGTATAGTCTCAGTTAATAAGGTTATTTAGCACAAAGTGCAGCTTCAGTGAGAGAGCTGCTTTTGCTCAGTGAACTTGGACTACCACGTTTTACCTTCTTTTGTTCAATAAAACTTTTAACTGCAGTTATTCAGTCTAAGCTACCTCATTAATGTATTTGGTTTTCTTCCTCTGCCTCACTGTCTCCAGGATACACATTACGTATATCTGTGTAGGTAGATTAATTTGCTAGGAAACCAATGCAGAAGTGATCGTGAATGGGTATTTTCGACCTACTTTTAAGAAACTATTTTGGCCTGATGTGTTCATTTTATTATTAAGGACTGACGAAAGAACAAACTGTCTTAATTTTCTTTTTTTTTTCCTTGGAGAACTACTGCTTATGTGTACCACCATGCGATTTGCAGAAATCTTTCTCTGCTCCACAGTACAGTGCACTGCTGACAAATTGCAGCTCTGAGTGCTTATAGAAGGCGAATACCATCATGCTTGTTCTGAACCTCCCATCGTATGTTACAAGTGGTTTTGCTAATGAACAGTCAGAGGGCCGTCATCTGGGGAAAACTGTTTAAATCAGCTTATTTTATTGTGCTGGCTATTATCATTAACCATGTAAAGCTTAATAGACTTTTTTTTTTGGGGGGGGGGGTATGCTATTATGTATTTTGTCCCTGCTTGATGCATCAAGCAGCAGTATTACTGTGGTGTCAATTTTGGAAGTACTGATATTTATTCTTTATGCAGTTTACTAGTAATGATCACTACCAAAATGTATGTGTAAGCTTTAGGTTTTATAAGTGTTTTGGTTAAAATCAAAAGCAATTCTTCCTCTTTAAAAAATAATTTTGCATAGCCATGCAAGGTTGTTTCAGATGTTAATAGTGGCACCAGCGGATACTTTTGGAAAGCAGCCAGGTGAGATGAATTGACTCGTTACCTTAAGAATACTCTTCTAATTCCACGCAAAGCACCAGATAGGAAAATGTTGCTCTGTCATTTAAATAGGTGTCAGTCATTTAAGTGTCACGTGCTACTAATTTTTTTTCCAGCTCAGAGACCGGAGTTTAGAGCCTGCTTGAGTTTAAATCCCCTGAAATCCATATTCCAGTTCAATTTTATTCATTAAACTAAAAAGCAGTTGAAGTAGTTGCAACTCCTTTTGGGTAATGTAAATATATCCTGCTGTCCGTGTGCTGGGGATGAGGAGATGCACTGTTTAAAAGTGAGTATCTTCACAGGTATTCTCCATTCGGAAGAAGTTTAGGGTGGGTTCTAACCATTCTGAGATGGTTACAAGTCCGGATGTCCAAGTTTTGTATCTGAGCCTTGAGAATAGCCTAGGAGTTGGTGTATGGCCACAATGTATTTATTTTATTTAGTGACTCGTTATCTCTTTTGCTTAAAGTGGAAGAATTATTTTTGAATGTCATTTTGTAATCACTGTTGGACATAGCATAGTGGATTAAATGTAGTGCTTCAATCAAATTAATCTTTGAGGTTTTTTTCTTGTATCTCCCTCTGGATTGAAGTGTTCATAATGACGTTAGTTAACATCTACTCACCAGGACCGAAAAGCAAACATCAGAAGATTTGCCAAAACCTGCAAGCTGTTTTCTTCTGTAATGCAGTGTAAAATGACTTGATGCTCATTACATCTTCCTTAACCATAGCATAACAAAGCCTGTCCATCTCTGAATCCCCAGCTGGAAGTGCACATATAGATACAGCAGATACTCCGTCTACATTTTCAGTAAGACTGCTTTTATGAAGAGTAAGCCTGTCGTAGTATCTAGAGCCAGCGGTGTCCAGATGCTAAGCAGCTGCCTCTTTTTTTTCATAGCTCTTGAATGCTTTCATTTTTGCAGTTGTATCGAAATCAGAAAAGCATCTGGACAAAAAGCAATTAGGAGATATTTGACCTGAACACGAGTAAGACGATGTTAGCGTGCTAGCAGGGAGAGCTGTGGGAGCTGTCTGCCCTCTCCCGACGATGGCACACCCACGCTGCAATCTCAGAATTCGTTTGGGCTTTGCCTTTTTTTGGTGCCCAATTAGCAGGAAATGCCACAGGTGTTCAGTTCCACGTACAGCTTTGTCCAAAGGCGTGGCTGATATCCCTGCCGAGAAACACAGCACTCCACTCAAGACACTTGGGATGGCGTTTCCCTTGTGCTGTGTTTTGATATAGAACAAGAATGATGGGGGAGATGGCCTTGGAAAACCCAGATTATTTCAAGTTCTTTTGCCCTGTTCACGTAGGAGCTGATGATTTGCAGATGTCCTGTTTGCCGTGGTTCCCCTTCCTTTTTAAAGTTGCATAAAGTATAAGAGTCTGGCTGAGGGAAAACGATTCATGGCAGGACCCAACCTATCTTAGGGCATTTGTTGCCTTGACATTCTTGGAATCATGGAATTGTCATGAAGGGGTGAGAACTGGAGCAGCAGAAGCCTGAGGGCCTGACCTGCAGCTCTGGTGTTCCCTTGTGCTGAAGAATCACTGTCAGCCTTAACCCGTTCCCAGAACAAAAATGAGTCACTTTCTCATGCCAATGCTATTTTCAAATTCTCCATTCTGTTTCTAGGTGTGTGTTGGGTGAATCTCCCAGGAGTAGCATTCTAGTAACGGTCAAACCAATAGTCAGATTCTTTAGTGGAATAATGGAAACCCTGGATTAGGGCAGTTTGCCTACAAGTGAATAAAAAGTTATCCTCAAAAGGCTTAGTCTTAATCTGGTGGATTGGTTGGACATCCAAAAATAGATTGGTGCCACAGCTGGAAGTGGAATACAAATGTCTGGAGAATTTCATAGCCAAAGGTTTGGGGATTATCTGATCTGGAAAGTTCAAGGCACTTTTTTTTTTTTTTTGCGTGCGAAGTTCGCTCTACTTACTAGAATTGTTGTTCCTTCTTAATTTATCCTCCAGCTGGTAATCACCTCATCTTTGCATTGGGGTCTGACTGCTGGTTGCTAGTTTTTTAATTCTTCCTTTTGCAGCTGATGTATTTGTTACTTCCTCTGCTTTTAAATCAGAATTGATAAAGCTGCAGCTTTTCTAGTGGCATGGGCCTCACGTCAAGGGAGAAAATAGCCTGCTGCTGGTGTGTGACATACTTTTGAGACATGTAATCATAATTCAACTTATACATACGTGGAAATATATAAGCAATTTTAATCTACTAAAAGTTATGTGTGTGTTGAAGGAGTAATGTGTGTCCCATTTCCTCCTGGCTCGAACCTCACGTGGTGTTTTAGATTGTGTGCAGTGATAGATTACCCAGAGATCTGGAGGGTGAGTCAAGCTCCCTTATGTAGCACTTTATGCTTTCCGTGCTCTGGGAAGGTGTTCTTTACTTGCACAACATACGTAGCAGGTACTTTTTTCTTTTCCATTTTAGCTAAAATGTGAATGATAGGTCTTTGTGTAGCGATGTGGTCAGAAAAAAAGTCTTAAAATGCAGAGTTATGTATGCTTTGCATAACGATAAAGGTTTGGGTCCCGGGAGTATTGCAGAACCCATTCAGCCATGTAAAGGTGATCGCAGTTTTGAGAACAAGTTAGGGAATTAGAATGACTTTACTTGAGCTGCACCAATTCATATGTTCTTGTTGACAGCCTTTGGCAGATGACTAAGTGAACTTTTTTTTTCAGTCTGTAGTCTCTATCTTTTGATGTCCAGCCCTGTTGGACCTGCTGATTACCTCTTCTGGGGAAAAAAATATCGTGGGATTTGTTCCACAGCATATCTTACTCTGTAAAGCAACATGTCTAGTTTTTGTCAGGAATTCTAGCACCAGTGATACCCAGGAGTCCTCCGGGAGTTTATTTAATGCCCAGGCGATTTGTAGAAGATGCAGCCCAGGTAACCTGGGAGTGGTGCTGCAGCAGGAGCCCGGCACAGTTGACCTTCCAGAAGGGATGATCTGGAATGGGGATTTGCCTCCTTCTTTGTGTATTATTTTGGATCCTGAATGCTGTTTTTTCCCCCCACCTTTGGGAGTGTTTATTGCTGCTAGTTGGGTTTTTCACTTTTTATTCATGGAATGAGTAATACCTCTCTGAATCTGTAGTGGGAGTGAAAGGTTCAGTTGGTTGTTTCTGAGCTAGTTACATGCTGTCAGGGTATCCACACATTCATTAAAAAGTTTATTTTTATTCTAGACTGTTTCCTAAGCATTTGGAAGAATTCAGTTTGCAGTGCGAAAAGACCTCGGATGAAAATGCATTTGGGACTGGAAACATGCAGAGCTAGTAAATTTTCAGAGTAAAATTATAGTTCTAGGCAGAAAAGAAGCATTTTTTAGACTTTGTTGGCATGGCTCGAAGGTTTATTTGGACACTGAGCTCCCACAGACTGTCTGGAGTGACACATATATATTTATTTAATAATTTGTAGTTGACTTAGGTGAACCTGAGCTCAGTTCATACCTGCTTGCACTCTTGGCTGGCCTGTCGCTGTGTTCCCCTTAGACCGCAGCATTCTGTGTCGGCTGGGGTCTGTTTTCTCTGGGCAAGTGTGAAACCACCTCTCCTGGCTTCCGTATTGCCTGGTGGTTGAGTTCCGAAATAAATCTGAGCTTTGATTCTTCTATCTAAAGTATGTCATGGCTCTGGCCTGATGAAGAACATGTGGAGCTAGGGAATGAGGACCACGGCTTCGACATCTAATTAGCCACCAGCCCCTTGCTGCCCTGAAGGCAGATATCCCCACACCCAGCTAAAATCTCTGTGCAGGAGGGAAATGTTTTAAGGCTGATGTAAAATTTTCATTACATCTAAAGACCACCAGAGTCTCCTTGTCCTTTTTTTTCAAGGAGGGTTGTGTTCCAGAGCTGCAGAGTGCTCTGGAAAGAGGTAAAGACAGCAACTCCTTGGCGTCCAGTGCTTCTTTCTTGGCCACTGATTCTGCCCTTCCTTCTGTGCCCGCATGGGAGTGGCGGGAGGGGGGGTCAGGGTTTGGTCGTGCTTTCCAGATCCCTGCAGAGAACAAGTTTGTTTACTGCCATCTGTCTGCACAACACTGGGGAAAAGACCTGTAGGAACGCTTCAGATGTTAAACTGTTAACTCCCAGAACAGTATCAATTAATGATGGAAAAAAATAAAATTGGTCCATTTGAACACGTG